GATACTTGATTCTTAAAATGGCAGTTTTATATTGACATTTACTGCAGTTTCAACAGGAGAATTTGAAAATATTTTCAACATAACTGAGGAACTCAGTTACATGTTAGAGCAGAGCGTTTCTGTCTACCATGTGTTGCATTACACTAAACCACATTATTTCTTCAATGAAGCTCTTGTTCACATACGTGTGATGTAACCTAGCGAAAAGAGGAAATAAATAATTCTTTCAACAATTTGCAAGAAATAAATCTAAGCACTAACATTAAAATAAAACACAAGTTTGTAAGAATTCGACACACACACACACACACACACACACACACACACACACACACACACACACACACACACATACTTTTGTCTCTGTCACTTTAATGAATATGGGTATCTTACAGTTGCATTTTACTAGTCTACCAACCAAATTGCTCATTAAATGAGCAATAGCCCCAGATGATACGTTCAAGTTTTTAGTCTCCCTGCAAAACAACGAGACTTTGTGCTCACTGCTGCGCACTGTAGCGCCGAGTGAGTATAACTTCCTTTATCCGCTATCTTTGAATAGATAAAATAAAATCTATAAATATAAAATAAAAAAATGGCAAACAGTATCAGAAATCTAACTCAGCTGAAATTGTTTTACATGCTTTTATTACTAGTCGCTTGGACTACTGCAATTCTCGTGGTCTCCCAAAAAAATCTTTAAAGAAATTGCAATTAATTCAGAATGCTGCGACCAGGATTTTAACAAACACAGAAAAAAGGGATCACATGTTCCCTGTGCTGGCATCACTGCACTGGTTACCGGTGTCTTTCAGAGTTGATTTTAAAATGCTTTTAATTATTTACAAGGCTTTCCATAACCCGGGCCCTACACACATCAGGGACTGCCTTTCTTTTGATAACCCAACAAGGACACTCAGATCCTCCGATACATTTCTTTTAGAAGTACCTAAAGTAATACACAAGAAATCTGGGGAGGCTGCTTTATGTTTTTCCCATTGGATCTTAGAACAGCAAACTCCATTGGAGTTTTTAAAAGTAAATTGAAGACCTATCTTTTAATTTGGAGTAATTTTAGAGGTATCACTGTTTATGTTTTATTGTTTTATGGTTCTGTGATATAACTGTCTGTTTTTTATAACTTGTTTTTAATTATGTTCCTCCTTCTTTATGTTGTATCTGTAAAGCACCTTAGTCTGCATCTTGCATTGAAGGTTCTATAATAATGATAATAATAATAATAATAATAATAATAATGCATTTTATTTAAAGAGCGCTTATATAGAAACTCAAAGACACTTTACACAGTAACAAAAAAAAAAGAAAACATAATTAAAACAACACACTTAAAATATATAAAACACAACATTAATTACAGATTAAAAGCAGTTCTGAAGAGGTGCTATATAAATAAAGTGTATTATCATTATTATAAATAAATAGAAAAACGCTTGCTGCCATTATGTGGAGTACAGTATATCAATTAAGTATAACATGTGGTGAAGGTTTCAATAGATTCATAAACAAATACTATTAAGGTCTAATGATGCTCAGTTACAAAAGTGCTGGTTAGGAAAAGGTGTGGTTTTCAATATGAATAGCTATTTACAGAGAGAGGGGAAAATGCACAAGGACTTAATGTTCCTCAATATTTCACTGCATGTCAAAATTGGGTTAACAGTCATAAGTTTCTGTGTGTACGATGAAATAGTGGCTTTAAAATTGTCACGAACTTGGAAACACAAGGTACAAGACTCAAATGCACGACCCGGGAGACAAAGGTAAAGTATGCGAAAAGTACTTTATTCCAAAAATAGGAAGTACAAATAAGGATCGACACTCTTGACGAGGTGAAAAAGGTTTAAAAAAAGGCACAAAAGAAAATCGATACTTGATACTGCAAGGAGACGTATTGTGTGAAAAGAAATGGAAGATGTTGTTTAATTGCTGATATATTTATGATCCACGTCACGTATTCAGTTTTGGCGGCAGTGCTTCCTGTTTGTCCAGAAGTCTTCTCATCAGGGCTCTATAAATAAAGAACTACGGCAGATGTGTAATATGTAATACAGCCGAACCGTGTATTACAATGCCGTTATGTGATGACTTCCAAAGAGAAAAGCAAGCAAACTCGGAATAAAGTAATATTATTTTTTTTTAAAAATGTTTTCCGATTTCATATCACATAAACACCACATCCCGACGTGCATTTCGGCTAAAACATCCAGGATTATGGGTAGTTCGATGTTTTAGCCAGAGGTGGGAGTAAGTCCTACATGTGCAAGTCATGAGCAAGTCTCAAGTCTTGACCTACAAGTATCAAGCAAGTCCCAAGTCACTGTGGTGAGAGTCAAGCAAGACAAGTCAAGTCATTGCTCAGGTCAAGTCAAGTCATACGAAATTCTGATGAATAAGCCCAGTTTCCGCATTTAAATCAGTTAAAAGACAGTGGTTGTGAAAATGGATTTAACCCATATGATCTTCATTACATAATTTAAATGTCTGTTAACACTAGAACCGCCAACAGCGTCAGCACCTACATAGATATCATTTTCAAATCATTTAATTTGTTCCTCTTCATAATTTCCTTATAAACTAAGTAGGACGATTTAAAACTCACTTAATTGGGTTAATTTAGAAATTGCTTCAGGTTATCATCATAACAGATCAAAAAGTTCAGATTCATTTTACAATAAATCAAGGAATGATGCACTTCTATAAACAAAAACAACATAATTAAAACATTTAAACAAACTACTAAAAGTAGATGAACTACATTATTCAACAGTTTACAGTAACTTCTGATAATAACACAGGGGAAATAAACGAGGCATCTCTTTTCCTCTCTCTCTCTCTCTCCCTCTCCTGACAGCCCGTCAGTATCGGGGTTAGTCAAAATGAATCCCTTGGCGGTTCTAGTGTTCATTTACCGTTTTGTCTTCTCTTTGCAATGCTTAATCGATTTGAAACCAAGTCTAACGTAGCTTAAACTTAACGTTAGCTTTCTAGCTAACACAACACATTCACGCACCTTTCTCTGTGGGTTTTTTTGTAGTGTAGACGAATGAAGTTGGATGTTGTGGTGGTCGTGTCACTGGTCTTTATGCTGCAGACCCTGCATACCGCTGTTCTCTTCTTATTAGCGTCATCGACAACATAATCCTTGAATCCAAACTTCACTATTTTTGGAGTAACGCTAGCCGCTGCCATGTTAACTGACACTCCTGCCGTCTAGTGGGTTGCCAGGTTTGCGCGCATGGCGCTATAATCACCCAATCACGTTTTTCGAAAAAACTAAACGTAATATCTCAATACAAAAACAAACGGAAATATTTAATTTTAAACAGACAAGTCCTTTCAAGTCATCTGTCTCAAGCTTAAGTCAAGTCTCAAGTCATGAATACCAAGTCAAAGTCAAGTCAAGTCTTTTATCAATGTTAGTCAAGCAAGTCTCAAGTAAAAAAATATGCGACTCGAGTCAAGTCATGTGACTCGAGTCCCCACCTCTGGTTTTAGCCTATCAAAACCTCTGAAAAAAGAAAGGTGTCTCTCAGAATCGAAAGAGAAAAACCTATGGGAAAAACACAAAAGCATTGTACACAATTTAAACTAATTAATGTCGTATAATTAACAAGGATAAACTGATGTTTTTTAGTGGATGAGTACTGCAGATATCACTGTTGAATAATGTGATCATTGGTTTTATTATGAAAACGTCGAGACCGGAAATACTGTTTTCAACCCGCAACTTTACATGGAAGCTTGCCGCATATACACGTTCTCCTGACGAAACTTCAAATCATCTTTGTAATATCTATCAAACTATAGATCCTACATATCGAGTGGAAGTGGATTCTAAAAGTACAATATACACTTCTCGCTAGAAATCTAATCAAAAAGCATTTTGATGACCAAACTATCCTACAATTTAGGATTTTACAGAGAGGGTTATTTGCAGTGCTTGAATTGGAATAAAAAAGGTGCCAGTACTCTAAATCAGCAACTGTTTCAAGTCAATTTATTTATACAGCCCAAAAACAAGAATTTGGCTCAAAGTCATAGTATATCCTATAATGCTGGTGGGTTTGTCTCTTTGCTGTATATTTTAGAAAGGCTCACTGTACTTAAACAAAATGACTCAGGGTGCATCTGAGATTAGAGGGGGTGCAGTGGTAAAGTGCTATTTTTATAAGTGGGGAGTGGACCTGACACCCTCTAGGGGGGTCCGGGGGCGTGCTCCCCCGGGAAGATTTTTTTTTAAATATTGAAGTTAAATGCATCAATCTGGTGCACTTTGACTTTTGACTCAATGTATCTCTTCATTTTGCTCTCAAAGTCTTTGAGAGCAAAATGAAGAGATATATGGATACCTCTCAACATCCATATGAAACAGAACTGTAAACAGATTTACTTTTTCTTTATGGATATAAAAGAAAGTAAAGCCTGACTCCTACTGGCGGCTGGTTAAATGACTCCTCGTCCCTGAGTACACTCATCTTTCAGCAGGAAAGGTGAGAGGGAATCAATGGAGCTGCCAGGGAGGACACAGGGGAATCCAGACGGTGGTTTATGGGATGCAGAACTTGGAGCAGGAGGCTCGAGAAGGCTCCCCGTCAGACACAATTTCTAACACAGGCACAGCATTTTCTGTATTTGCAGTCGGCTCCTTGTCCGGCGACAACCGCTGTCTTTTCGGACAAATATGCCCAGCGTACCTAGAGGTACGCTGGGCATATTTGTTGTCATGCGTCATGACGTGCCGTCGGCGGCCGGCGGCTGAGTACCGGCCCAATTCAAACACAGGTTATTTGTGAATAAACGACCCTCTGTAACGTTTGCATTCAACGGGAGCACTAGAGGCCGAAAACTTTAAAACGTAATTATAGGTCGTATTAAGCGCTTGAACAATCGACCCATTTGGTCGTATGAGTTGGAGGACTTGTTGGTATTTACATGATGTATGTTCTTTGCAATGTTGCAAAATAGCATCTCCCGCAGGATGTGGTTGGAAGTGAAGATAAATAGATGGCAATCATATTGTGTAGTTCGAACTCTGCAGTAAAAAGGTTCCACTTGACAGCGGGCTGATCATCCTGTCGCCACGATGCGTGGGCTCTACAAGATTCTGCTTCTTTTTCTTCTGGCATGCCAAGATCAAAACGGTAAATTGCTCTGATGACTTTTCTTCACCCTGAAAATTAGATAATAACTAGTTTTATCTCTTTGTTATTCTTTTTTTTAATTTACAGTACTTGGAAGTAAAATCATAAAGGGGAAAATTGCAGACGATACTTTGATGAAGTATATGGTATCGGTGCAGGAAGACGGTGAACACATATGTGGAGGATTCCTTGTCAGCAAACATGTTGTTGTCACCCATGGGGGGTGTAAATTGTAAGTTACTCCTTTTCTAGCTTGTTTTGTTGTTTGATGTAAAAAGCATGTTCTGTGTTGTCACAACTTTACAAAATACAACGATAACCTGTCACTGATGTCTTTTTCAGTGATGAAAAAGGAAAAATATTTGTTGTTCTCGGCACCCACAATCTCACGCAACCTGGCTCTAAAATAAAAGAACAAATTAAATCCACACGCAAACCCCCACCTGGAATTGGGACTGACATCATGCTCATTGAAGTAAGTTTATTCAGCCCAGTAGTCCCTTGGTTTGAAGAAAATTAAACAACTGAGTTTAATTCAGTGAGGGTAAATGTAAATAAACGGGGGGAAGCAAATAGTATTAAATATTCCTGCTTATAATATTTACACAGCACAACCAAAAACCGGTTGATTTACTGTAATACTGCTCGTAATAACCTTTATTTAAGTGACTCATGTGCTCCAACAAACACATTTGTAGTAGAGTAGGACTGTGTTTTGAAAAACTGCTTTTTGATTTTATTCGTCTCAAGATCTATCGAACAAAACCAGAAGATCTACCAGAAGAAATTCAACTTCAAGACCCTGAAACGGATGTAAAAGAAAATGAAAAGTGCCAATTAGCTGGATGGGGTCCAGTGGAGAACGATGGATCTGATTATGACGATAAGCTCCATGTGGTGAACGTGACTGTCATCAGCCCGAAGGCTTGCAAAGTGCAGATTCCTGGACTTCGTGCCAATGCTATCTGTACAGGTGGAAAACAGACAACAGACGAGGGAGGATTTTGTAAGGTATGTTAGATACATTTGTTTCTTATTCCAAAAGAAGGTATAACATCATGCATAATCTTTTTAACAAATAAAGATATTTCCTGCTCACAGAGTGATGCGGGTGGACCCCTCGTGTGCAAAGGGAAAGCTGTTGGAATTGCGACTGTCGACGACAAATGTTCCTTCCCAGGTTCACCCAACGTCTACATTGATATCTCAAAATACCGTTCCTGGATCGACAAAGTATTAAATGGTAAGAAGATTTTTACAGAAGAAGTGTGTTAAAAACAATGAAAGAAAGAAATTAACTTGTGTTTTAACCTAACAGGAAATAAATAAGTTATTTAAAAAAAATATATATATATAAATATAATATGCATATAACATGTTGATGTTCTATATTGCTCAATGAAGCTATATAACGTCAGCAAACCATAGTGAAGGTCCTATGACATTGCTAAGAAGCTATTCCAGGTTCCAAGATATGGATACCATCCCATTAGACTATAAATGAGATAATGTAATATAATAGATTAAAAATGAAACAGTCCTACTATTGGTAAATCACGTACATTATGGAGAATGATCATTCAGGAAAGAGAAAGGGTTGTGAATGATAGTATTCGTAGTATTATATTTATTGTTATTTATTTATTTCCTATTTTCCTAAAAAATGGCAAAGGGCAGCCACTTGAAACGCTGTTTGCATATGTGTCTGGCATACAGCAGTATACCAAGACGATAAGACACGTTGTATGACACTTTACTTGAAGATATGAGTCTCTCAGTGGCGGAGCTGGGTGGTGGCCGTGTGTCACTGTATTCCTGATGATACACTGAGAGAATGAGCTCATAGTGCTGCTGATCATCATAAGCTAAATAGTCTGTATATTGCATTACATTTGTATAATGTAAGCTTCGTTGATACTTTGCCTGCGGGAATACGAAAAAAATAGTTAGATATACTGAATATTATTTGATCTATTCCACCACTTAATTCCAAATAATGTAGAGGTGTGTTGTAGGTGCCTTAAATAACCCCTTCTTTTCTAGTGAGATGTATTTTTATGTTCATATAATAGTGATTTCAATGCCACCCCAAAATGATCACTGGTTCTATCCTGGCCACCCCACTGAAAATGTCCTGGCTCCGCCACTGCTCTCGCGTTTCTGTCTACCATGTGTTGCATTACACTAAACCACATTATTTCTTCAATGAAGCTCTTGTTCACATACATGTGATGTAACCTATTGAAAAGAGGTAATAAATAATTCTTTCAACAATTTGCAAGAGTTAAATCTAAGCACTAACATTAAAATAAAACACAAGTTTGTAAGAATTCGTCTGTCTGTCTGTCTGTCTGTCTGTCTGTCACACACACACACACACACACACACACACACACACACACACACACACACACACACACACACACACACACACACACACACACACACACACACACACACACACACACACACACACACACACTTTTGTCTCTGTCACTTTAATGAATATGGGTATCTTACAGTTGCATTTTACTAGTCTACCAACCAAATTGCTCATTAAAACAAAACATGCCAACATGGATCGTCACACACACACACACACACACACACACACACACACACACACACACACACACACACACACACACACACACACACACTCACACACACTCACACTTCTGACAGAGGCTGAAATGTACCAGGGGTGGAACCAGGAAAAGTCTATTCATAGCTTTTTTTTCAAAATGTCCACCTATGCTAAACAACTTTAACATTAAATTGTAATCTTGTACACTGTGACACATACAGCAATGTTAACCCTTAAAGCGTTGTGGGCCTCAATATGGCCGTTGTCTTTAACACTAAACGTTTCTTGCATCTATTATGAAAGCCTGTTTTGAAAGTTACACGTGTTTTGTAATCCAACCATCCTTTTACGAAAAAGGGCATATTTCATGAATGTTTTCACGGATAAAGTCTGAACACCTCACTTTGAGACATCATTAAAATCAGTGGCACAGCTGATGTTACCATTGATTTGCCCATGCTCACTAACCCTGCCTTAAATGCTAGACAAGAGGTCACTGTAGCTGTCCAACGACCCTGTAGATTACTGGAACAATTGTATTGCAGGCATTCAGTTCATGATTCAAGATACACACAGGTGGATCCAATCAGGACGAGGCCAACACTCACATAAAGTGGGAAACCACATAAACAGGAAGTCAATGAAACAAGGTGAGTGCTTTTTACAAAATAAAACAGGAAACAGAAATGCCAAGGTCATGAAATAACCCCAGGATAAAATACCTCCAAATCAGCAACACAATAGCCAAATACAAAAGGTATCACTAAGAAATAAGGAGAGTTATAGGTGCCAAACAACATCATATTAAAAACGTATATATGCCGAGGGCAGGTGCCGGATATCTAGTTTGTAATGCTGCCTTGAATGAAGTGTTTTTTATTCTTTAGAAAGAGGACATTTACATACATTTTTATCTTTATTAGAATTTACTTTCTTACAAGACATGAAATCCTTAGTTATTAATGTCATTAAGTGACTGGTTGGGCCTTTTAAGAAATCTTCATATTCGAGTAAAGGCCTAACATTTGCACTGCATATTCATTTTGTTTATTTTTTCCATATCCTTTCAACCATAACTGTTATGCCTGGTTTCCAACCTGCTGTAACATTAGATTAATTAATGTCTGTCTGGAAACATTGAACATTAACTGTGGCTGTGCAGATCATTTAAGTTTTAAAGATATGTGCAGATGTTGATGAATGCAGTCGCATCACTTGGTCATGTCCCCAACATGTTAGCTTTTAATACAGGGTCTTATAATTTAAGATTATATTTATCATAAATGTTATTTGTATAGAGCAAATGAAAAGGACTCTACTAAATTAACATATACCTAGTACTCGTGTGTCTGTGGATAGATTTTGTCACCTTAAGCAACCGTGTCACATGCAGTCTCAAGACTTTGCGGATACAGTTTGGATTGATATGAAGGAAGCGGCCATTCACCCCCAATTTAGATTTTACATTTAGATCATTTTTCTGTGAAATGATGATCAAAGTGATTAAATAGTATTTGTTTTACAACTTTGATGTTAGCTCAGAAGTGAAGCAGGAAACCAGTTTCTGTGGTTCAGCTGGTTTGTTGCAGATTTCACAAGAAAGGTTTGAGTGGGCTGCTTTAACAACAAAAAAACAACGGCAAAATGGGGACTAATGAAATATGTTAGTGCAAACATTGCAGGCAAACTGACAGAATTCAAAATAATTGATGTGTTAAAGGTCCCATAATTTGCTTTTCCTGTTATTACCCGTCCCCTTGTGTGTTATGTAGCTTTTTCGGCATGTAAACAGTCTGCAAAGTTACAAACCCTCAAAGTACACCCTGTAGCGAGTAAAACTTGAACACAGAAAAGACGTGTCTATGCTGCCCCAGAACGCCTCGTTGTAGATTTTTCTCTTTCCATTTCCATTCCTATTGACGTCACTAAGTCCAAATGGACCAATTGGCACACAGCTATAGAACAATAGGCACACCCTCTGCCAGGGTGGACTCCCGAGCAGCTCACGAGTCCGGACAGTGTGAGGTGGATTTCCTGCTGTGTTTCCCTGCATGCTGGATATAGACCAAGTGCCATGCCAGTGGACACCGCGGTGCTCAGGCTGAGCAGCAACCAGGAAACGACACCAGTAATCCACCTCACACTGTCCTCTCCTCGAGCCTCACAGGGCGGAGCAGCGAGCCCATGCAGCAATCTCATCTGTTTGTTATAACTGGTGTCCTTTTCTGGTTGCTAACAAACGCCATTGTAAAACATAAACACTGATGTTCCGCTGTAACGGTGGTGGACTAATCATAACAGAGTGGGCGAGCTGACCAATCAGAGCACAGTGGGCTCATAGGGAGGGAGGGGGCAGGAGCTCCAACAAGCCGTTTAGGACAGAGTGAATACACATACTATACAGAGATGCTGTATGAGAAAACCAATGTGAGTTTGGAAAATGTAACAATCGAAATCTATTCTAGTAGACCTCAACAATGGAATTATGATCAATAGAAATGGCCATGACATGGGGCCTTTAATGAGACAAAGTGCTGCATAAAAGGATCAACTTAATGCCCCGAAGATCAAAGGCAAGTCAATTGTCTTGCAGGCATCATGCATGCTTTGCACAAACTCCTGCTTTTTCAGGTCCTGACATCTCTCGGACAAAATGGTAATACTCCGAACTCTGTTTATTATGCTCCAATCACTAACTGAAATTAACCTATGACCCTTTACTTATTTCAGCAGATGGTAGTATAATCCCAAAAGCAATAGCCCCAGATGATACGTACGAGTTTTTAGTCTCCCTGCAAAAAAACGAGAAACATGTGTGCGGAGGATTCCTGATCAGGGAAGACTTTGTGCTCACTGCTGCGCAGTGTAGCGCCGTGTGAGTATAAATTCCTTTATCCGCTATCTTTGAATCATTCAATTAGAAAGCAATTTGAAAAGTCTTCAAGATATATTAGCCACCTTTATTTTTAAATGTTATCTTCAATATTGAATATTATCTTTCATTCAGGGTACCGGACAGGGTCGTTGTTGGCACTCACAATCTCCTCAACGTTGGTGATGAAAATGTAAGATACATTGAAAAGAGCTACAAACACGAATCCTATACACAAGTAGCCGGAGGTTATGACATCATGCTCCTCAAAGTAAGTACGTTTTTTTTGGATCAAATTAATAATGTAACTTTCAGCTTCATATTCAGTCATTTTTTGTTACATTGAAGTCTGAAGAATAAAAAAGTATTATCTTATATTACAGACATTGCTAGTTTTGTGAGATTTACTTTGAGATTTTGTTCATCTCCAGCTGACGAGGAAAGTTGCCGGGAACAAAAAACAAATCATTGCCCTTCCTCCTTCTAATATGCACATTCAAGAAAAGAAAATCTGCCATGTAGCTGGATGGGGTAAAACAGAGACTGGTGGTGGAGTTGTTGATAGGCTGATGGAGGTGGATGTGTCTGTCATAAACCTGAACACATGCTCTCAGTCATGGGGTCCTTCTTTTCCTTCCGATGTTATCTGTGCCGGCGGTTATGGCAGCCACAAAGGCTTCTGTCAGGTATGATTTCTCTTTGTTGATGTCAAATGTAAGCTGGTATAAAAATGCTTTAAAAATCTTAAATAAAACAATCAATAATGAATAATATTCCTTGTTCACAGGGTGATGGTGGTGGTCCTCTGGTGTGCGACGGGATAGCTGTTGGTGTTGTGTCTTACAACTACGACAGAAACTGTGACTACCCAAATAAACCCAACGTCTACACAGAGATCTCCCAATACCTTGGCTGGATCAACAGTATCATCAATTAAAAAGCTTAATATACAATTTCATAAAGCTTTGCTTCAGCACACTTTGAATGTATTTAGGAGGGGAGGCTGTGTCTCAGCTGCTCTGTCAGTGTTCGCTCTTTAATGGAAAAGCAAAATAAAGCAAATGTCTCAAATGTTGTTTTCTCTTTATCCGAACACATGAGGTTTGAATCTCTTTTAGGAAAAAGTTTTACTTCAGCAAACATTCATTGTAATATTGAGGCTTTGTGGTGTCACAGATTGGTCTATCAAGGTTTATTTCATCAGTATACATTCATTGTGTATGTTTAAATAATCATAATAATGAGATCCGGCACTTTGAGAGGTTGAGCATGTCACGTCACCATAGGATTATAAGCATTATTATAAGCAACTTTTAACACTCATAGAACGCACTTCAATAGAATGAACTAATGTAAACAAATGGCAAACAGTATCAGAAATCTAACTCAGCTGAAATTGTTTTACATGCTTTTATAGTCGCTTGGACTACTGCAATTCTCGTGGTCTCCAAAAAAATCTTTAAAGAAATTGCAATTAATTCAGATTGTTGCGACCAGGATTTTAACAAACACAGAAAAAAGGGATCACATGTTCCCTGTGCGGGCATCACTGCACTGGTTACCGGTGTCTTTCCGAGTTGATTTTAAAATGCTTTTAATTATTTACAAGGCTTTCCATAACCCGGGCCCTACACACATCAGGGACTGCCTTTCTTTTGATAACCCAACAAGGACGCTCAGATCCTCCGATGCATTTCTTTTAGAAGTACCTAAAGTAATACACAAGACATCTGAGGAGGCTGCTTTATGTTTTTCCCATTGGATCTTAGAACAGCAAACTCCATTGGAGTTTTTAAAAGTAAATTGAAGACCTATCTTTTAATTTGGAGTAATTTTAGAGGTATAACTGTTAATGTTGTATTGTTTTATGGTTCTGTGATATAACTTATGTTCCTCTTTCTTTATTTTCTATCTGTAAAGCACCTTAGGCTGCATCTTGCATTATTTAAAGAGTGCTTATCAAGAAACTCAAAGACACTTTACACAGTAAAGCAATAGGGTTATATGCAAATGCATTATCTTGGCATGATAAAAAAAAAAGGTATCCATTGAGCTGTAGGGGAGAAGAGAGGGGAGGCAATCTTACTTCTCAGTACAAAGAAACCGTACCTAATATGAAGAGAAAAAAAGTTTATCAAAATATACTTCAATATATTACCATAAGTTAAACTGTTCATTATGTAGACGCTCCATTCTAAAATATTGTATATATCATCAATATTTGATTTGAACTATAGATGCAGATACATTGCTTTTTTTATTTATTAGCTTATTCCACTTATGGCAATTGTTATAAAACAAAACATGTACTCTTTACACAGTTTTTGTAGGCCATGATGGAAAGGAGCAGGGAGAAAACAAATCTAAATGTTTTCAATCAACTTGTTGACGATGGTAAAGGTGGCAAATACATGTTTAAGAACAAACAATAAAAAGGTCAGATGGGACTAGTACTAGTTTGAGGTGCAGAGAATGTCACCAGCAGCAGCAGCACCAGACAGTGTCAAGGGTTTGCATGAGGCCTTTAGTATCCAGTCAAAATATGTGTTTATAGCACTGATACATCTGTAGCTGTTAAACAATGATAAAATCATTGAGCTCTAGTTTCATAACTGCTAGTGTGGGAACGTCACTACTCAAATCTTTAGTTGGAAACTGTGGTTTCTGTGGTTCATCTAGATTGAAACGCTATGCAAAGAAATGTCTGGGTTGTAGCAGATAAATCAGCTCACTTTTCTTTTGGCTGACAAAGTTCATTTGACTTAGCCACATAATAGTATGCACAAACAGTGCAGCAATGTCCAAAAAGTATTAATTAATTAAAAGAATCGCGTGATTGAAAATGTCAGATATAAAATGAACATCGGGTAGATTATAGCAGATAATAGCAAAAAAAGACTATAATACATTTTGGTCAGACACTGACTAATGAGCCACAATTCTCTTTTAGATTAGTTGTCAGTCAGCATTGACATGTTTTCACAGAATTATCTTCACACTCGACTGTGATAATACTGACACTCAGACTTTGAGATGGAAACTGTGGTTACAGCAACTTGTTGCATGCATGGTGCAACATCGCAGTAATACAAGACAACAGCCCGAATGTGAAAGCTGAAATGTAGATCCATACCAAACAATTTTGATTATATTTCACATATTTCATCCAACTAAATGTGACTAAAGCTTATTTTGTCACATTAAGGATAAGTATTATCCAAACAGTGACAAGAATATCCCAGAATTTTCAGAAAAAGCACAATACTTGATATTTAAATAGATAAAAAAGGATCACTTCAAGCAAATGACATCAAATGTTGTAGAGAATAAATTGTTGACCATGTGAAAACTCAGCCATGCTGTTCACATAATTCATGTGCTTCAGGCTTTGGAGGCCGCAGAACCACAGGCCTTATATTTACTGAAACATCTGCAACACTTCATGAGGTGTCATTTCTTTATTACCACATGCACTCATCACTTTAACACATTTAAAGTTTGCACAGGGTCGCTGACTGAGGGAACTGGTTTATAAAAAGGGTCGACACGACACCCAAAGACAACAGGTTCAGTTTGCTGCAAGCGCAGAACAGCAGAAAACAAACATATCTGTGGAGGATTCCTCATCAATAAAGGATTCCTCATCAATAAAGACTTTTGTGGTCACTGGTCAGCAAGAAAAAAATGGAAAAAGAAAAATCCCCAACGAGGCGTTCTGGGGCAGCATAGACAAGTCTTTTCTGTGTTAGAGTTTTACTCGCTACATGGTGTACTTTGAGGGTTTGTGACTTTGCAGACGGTTTACATGCATAAAAAGCTACGTAACACACAAGGGGACGGGTAATAACCAGAAAAGCATGACATGGGACCTTAAACAATTATGTTTTAACTTTGTAGAATGCCACACTCTATTTTGGCTGTCGAACTAGTTTACTTTAATTATTGGACTGTAACATAATCTACAGCAGTGGTTCTCAACCTTTTTACACCAAGTAGGCCTACCACCTGAGAAAATAGTTGGCTCTCCAAGTACCACCATATGACCAACGTTAAAATACAGTCTATGCAGTTCATGCAGGACTCGGAGGCAAATGTATTCATAATAACATTATGTATTGTCAGCCACAGCTACATGTACAAAGGGCAGTCTCTCTCTCTCTCACTCATCACTCACTCACCACAAGTGAGAATATAAATAACAAAATAATAACTTATTCTCAGACAACAAATGACAACTGTACATACATGTCATTTCCTATACCAAAGTTTGAATGTAGGCCTCCTGCAACAACCTACATGTAACAGAAAATGTCCTATTAGCGCCCACTAATGGTCAAAAAGCAGAGAAACTCTGCAGCTCTGTGGTCCGACACAGGCCTTCTCTACTGAGTATATGTAGAATGATGTTATGAGAGCAACAGCTTGCATTTATGTTTATCAAATATAGCCTTTTTTGTTACTGTATCTGAATATAGATTTGTGATGAGAACAAAACAGTGAATAATGTAGTCAGATGTGTATAATGAATAACGTAATAATCAGTCGAATCCTTTCATCAAAGTTCTTTCAAAAACAAAATGTGAATTTATAATATATAATGTTACATGAGAAGCAAGGTAATTAATGTTCTGACTAGATCTGTGTTTGTTCTCCCCTGCATCGAGGCCTACTAACTAAATCATTGCTAACCGTGAGAACATAAATGTTCAAACCTGTATCTGGAAACTGGTTTCTGTGGTTTCTAAGTTTGTTGTCGATTTCAAAGAAAGGTTTCAGTGGCATGTGTCGAGAATGTCCACCTCAAACAATAACGGTGTTGGTGGTCTTTACTCGTTAGATCAATGCAACTAAAGCTCACTTACTGTTACCAAGTCTTATCCACAAATAAGGGGACAAAAACAAAAACAAAGGCCTACCAGTACAGGAGAGCATGTCCAGGAAACCCGCAGTCGGAGGAGAATATTGGGAAGGCTCTAAAACCAGTACTAATATCATGTAGAGAGCCGACACTCATACTGCAAGACAGAAGCACACAGGAGCTAAAACTGCTCAAGATAACAAAAAAAGGGAGCTTGAAAAAAACAAAAACAAGAAAGAGTAAACTAAACTTAGAACAAACAGGGAGAACATCAACGGGGTAGAAGAGGATTAAAGTAGTGACGAGCACTGTGGCGAACCACACAAGGGAACATTAACAACGCACTGAAGGAGAACAGTTGGAAGGCAAGTTTATTTATACAGCACCTTTCAGCACACGGCAACCCAAAGCGCTTTACAAAATGAAATAAAAGACATTTAAGAACAAATACAGTGGAAGCACATCAACAATCACATAAAGTGGAAAACAACATAAACAGGAAGTCAATGAAACAAGGTGAGTGCTTTTTACAAAATAAAACAGGAAACAGAAATGCCAAGGTCATGAAATAACCCCAGGATAAAATACCTCCAAATCACAAACACAATAGCCAAATACAAAAGGTATCACTAAGAAATAAGGAGAATTATAGGTGCCAAACAACATAATATTAAAAACGTATATATGCCGAGGGCAGGTGCCGGATATCTAGTTTGTAATGCGGCCTTGAAGGAAGTGTTTTTATTCTTTAGAAAGAGCACATTTACATACATTTTTATCTTTTAATTATTAGAATTTACTTTCTTACAAGACATGAAATCCTTAGTTATTAATGTCATTAAGTGACTGGTTGGGCCTTTTAAGAAATCTCCATATTCGAGTAAAGGCCTAACATTTGCACTGCATATTCATTTTGTTTATTTTTTCAATATCCTTTCAACCTGCTGTAACATTAGATTAATTCATGTCTGTCTGGAGACATTGAACATTAACTGTGGCTGTGCAGATCATTTAAGTTTTTAAGGTATGTGCAGATTTTGATGAATGCAGTCACATTACTTGGTCATTGTTACCGCCTAGAGATATTGGACCCCAAAGCAAAAGACTTAGAGAGAGAGATGGTCAAAAACTAAAAGTTTATTTTAAGCAGAGGCACAGTAAACGGCAGTGGAGGCAGGAAGCTGGCTGGCACGGAGACGTCAGGGACAGGAGGCAAAAATCCAGGCGAAGAGATCACAGGGACGAGGAGAGCAGCGAGACACCGGAGGGTCGAACACAAAGGAATTATCTGGCAGGGAAGTGGCATGAGGACCGGGCTTTTAAATCAACAGGTGAAGAGGTGAGTGGAAACAGGTGTGCCTCGTCTGCTGCTGGGAGGAGCCAGCCAACTCTCTGTCACACACCAGCCCAGCAGAGGAAAACAGAGAAGGGTGGGGGGAGACAGAAGAAAACACAAAAAAAGCACAACAAAACCAAAACAAAACAGAACCATCACAGTCATGTCCCCAACATGTTAGCTTTTAATATAGAACAGGGTCAATTTAAGATTATATTTATCATAAATGTTATTTGTATAGAGCAAATGAAAAGGACTCTACTAAATGAACATATACCTATTAGTACTTGTGTGTCTGTGGATAGATTTTGTCACCTTAAGCAACCGTGTCACATGCAGTCTCAAGACTTTGCAGATATAGTTTGGATTGATATGAAGGAAGCGGCCATTCACCCCCAATTTAGATTTTACATTTAGATAATTTTTCTGTGAAATTTTGATCAAAGTGATTAAATAGTATTTGTTTCACAACTTTGATGTTAGCTCAGAAGTGAAGCACGAAACCAGTTTCTGTGGTTCAGCTGGTTTGTTGCAGATTTCACAAGAAAGGTTTGAGTGGGCTGCTCCAACAAAACAAAAACAACGGCAAAATGCTGACTGATGAAATATGTTAGTGCAAACTTGCAGGCAAACATTGCATGTGGATGTGGTCAGAATTCAAAATAATCTATGTGTTAATCAGACAAAGTGCTGCATAAAAGGATCAACTTAATGCCCTGAAGAACAAAGGCAAGTCAATTGTCTTGCAGGCATCATGCATGCTCTACACAAACTTCTGCTTTTTCAGGTCCTGACATCTCTCGGACAAAATGGTAATACTCCGAACTCTGTTTATTATGCCTCAATCATTAACTGAAATGAACCTATGACCTTTTACTTATTTTCAGCTCTTGGTAGTGAAATCATAAATGGTGAAAAGGTCCCGGAGAACAAAATGCTGTTTATGGCCTCGGTTCAGAACAGCAGAAACAAACATATCTGTGGAGGATTCCTCATCAATGAAGACTTTGTGGTCACTGCTGCACATTGTGATGATGGGTGAGTTACCTTTGCTCTTTCAATACTCAATTATTAATGTTATTGGACCAATCCAAAGAACCTTATTTTTGCAAAACATGCAGCAGCTATTAATAAACACTACTGATTGCCTCCTGATGATCATTTGCTTAGGAATCCTACAAGTGTTGTTCTTGGTACCCACAATCTCAAGAATATTGATGACACAATGAGATACAGTGTGAAGAAATGCAAGCATCGATGTTATGAGAAAGTTGAAGAGGGGTCGGACATCATGCTCCTCAAAGTAAGTAGAGTTCCAGTAATTTGATGTTCTGTTAAATTCACTTTTAGTCTCAACAAAACCGTTAAAACAACAAAGCATTTACATCAATCCTATGAGCAGCTTCATTTTCAAGCAACTATTTTCAAGCTTGAGGTCTGATATGGGGATAAGAAGTATCCCCATATCAGACCTCTGTTATTTTCACTAATTTTCTCTTGTGATTTTGTTTCTCCAGCTGTCCAAGAAAGCTCAACTGAACCAAAGATTGCAGCCAATTTCACTTCCAGAAACTGAGACTAAGATTACAAATATAGAAACGTGCACTGTAGCTGGATGGGGCCTAACAAGTGTTGGTGAACCTGATGAGCTGCAAATGGTGAATGTGCCCATTGTTGACCTGGATGTCTGTAAGAGCAAATGGCCTAACATGCTTCCTGAAAACGTTATCTGTGCTGGTGGATATGGCACAGATAAAGGATTCTGTCAGGTATGCTTCCTTTCCTGTCATAGGGGTATGGTCTCATTATAAAAAGGTTATTAGAAAGCAAATGAACTAATATAGCTTCTTCCTCCTCACAGGGTGATTCTGGGGGTCCTCTGGTGTGCAACGGGAAGGCAGCTGGTGTTGTGTCTTACAACTGGAGCAAGAACTGCAGATACCCAAATAGGCCCAATGTGTACACAGATGTATCAAAATACCTTCCCTGGATCAGAAAGATGATGACGGATTGTTAAATGTAACAGATCAACATACTCTTATGTACTGGCTCCTTAAATGTAATCTCAAAACTTGAAAAATAAAAGCTTTGTTCATAACAAACATTGTTGCTTGGCAGTTCACCAATATATCAATATTATATCAACATGTACATCTACATATGTTGCATCTGTTGTTCACCTTTTTCAAACACAAAGGGTCATGTATTCTCCTTAAAGTAAAGCCAGTTTCTTATCACATGTAGCCAACCGTGTTGTATGTGTTAACGTCAATCACTTAAACCTTTTTGAATTTCGTTTGTAGAATTTTTATAAATATGGCGCAGCTTTTAGTCTTATAATTGGGTAATGTTGCACAAAGAAACTTCAAATCCACTTAAGCTGGTTTGTCATCCAAGATGAGTTAACATGTTCACACCTGACCCTATGAAACAGGTTGAAGTGTGTGTACCCCTCAACCAGTTGCAATGGTTTCAGATCTGATGCTCAAAGGACTTGATGTACTAAAAGTCTGCAAGTTTTTTAAAAAAATTCGGAGGGTTAAATGGTGGCAGATTTAATTTGTTATGATTTTAGGATTTCTTCAAAACTGCTTTTATGAATTTGAAATGTGTCTACCTGCGGTGTTATTAAAAATATGCATTAATGAGTTTGTTTCCCTTGTGGCGTTATTGCTTGTCGCAGAGTTAATAATTAACAATTATGTTTTAACTTTGTACAATGCCACACTCTATTTTGGCTGTCGAACTAGTTTACTTTAATTATTGGACAGTAACATAATATTAACTACAGGGCACAGAGGGGGAGTACAGATAAATAAATACTTCAAACACACAAGCATGACCGATGACACACACATGTTTGCCTTGGACTCAGAAGCACTGCAGAGGATGGATATAACAAAAACTGATTGGAGTGGCGCCCACTAAAGGCCAAAAAGCAGAGAAACAGCTCTGTGGTCCGACACAGGCCTTCTCTACTGAGTATATACAGTAGAATGATGTTATAATGAGAGCAGCAGCTTGCAATATGTTTATCAAATATTACATGTGTTGGTAGAGTATCTGAATATGGAATTGTGGTGAGAGAAACAGTGAATGATGTAGTCAGATGTGTTTAATGAATAATGTAATAATCAGTCAAATCCTTTCAAAGTTCTTTCAAAAACAAAACATGTGAGTTTATAATATATAATGTTACATGAGAAACAAGGTAATTAATGGCCAAACTAGATCTGTGTTTGTTCTCCCCTGCCTCGAGGCCTACTAACTAAATCATTGCTGCATAACCGTGAGAACATAAATGTTCAAACCTGTATCTGGAAACTGGTTTCTGTGGTTTCTTAGTTTGTTGTCGATTTCAAAGAAAGGTTTCAATGGCATGTGTCGAGAATGTCCACCTCAAACAATAACGGTGTTGGTGGTCTTTACTCGTTAGATCAATGCAACTAAAGCTCACTTACTGTTACCAAGTCTTATCCACAAAGAGGGGGACAAAAACAAAAACAAAGGCCTACCAGTACAGGAGAGCATGTCCAGGAAACCCGCAGTCAGAGGAGAATATTGGGAAGGCTCTAAAACCAGTACCAATATCATGTAGAAAGCCGACACTCATACTGCAAGACAGAAGCACAGAGGAGCTAAAACTGAGAAAAAGCATGAAATACAAATAAAACATCTCCCCACTGTACCAAACTACCTGTAAGACTGTGACAGCCCAAATAGTCCTGTTAGTGGCAAACAGTGGGCCTAACCAACACTTGATATAAGAGGTCTGTCTTTACTCTAGCTTTAAAGAAAATGACATAAAGAAAAGTAAAACAACAATAACATGTCACAGGTAGGCAAGCAGGTAAAGATAACAAAAAACGGGAGCTTAAAAAAACAAAAACAAGAAAGAGTAAACTAAACTTAGAACAAACAGGGAGAACATCAACGGGGTAGAAGAGGATTAAAGTAGTGACGAGCACTGTGGCGAACCACACAAGGGTTGCGGTCGAATAGTCCATTTAGCTTAGGAAATGACCCGGAAGTCCCTCAGTGGCAGCCATGATAAGAGCCGTTCGAATTCTCTAGATGATAGGAAAGGAGGTTTCAAACTTCCTTTATAACCTCCTTTAGCTTAGGAACCACTGGACCTCCCTAACCGAAAGGAGAGGAGAAAATGCTGCCCCACAATGCCTTGCGGCCGCGGCATTTGCCGTCACACAACAGTCGGCCGTTCACGGAAACAACCGATTATGAACGAGAAATGATATCATGAAAGTTACGGTGCTTATTAAGCTTTTTAAAACGTATGTGGTAAGTTGCCAAAGTGCTTTGTTTTGAACGTTCATTAGTATTATAATCAAAAAGAGAAATATGAATGTTAGTTTTTACTGAAATGATCAAATGAACATTTCACAGTGTTTACTAAGCTGTGTGGGGTTTGATCAACTTGTAAAAGATGTTTGAATGGTGATATACACAGTGATAGATGTTAAGGACTAACGTTTATAATAAATACATTTGTATTGATTTTAAGATATTTTCATACAATCATACGTATTGGGATCATTTGTATTAATGTGGACCGGAGGGAGAGGGTGACGAGCATAAGTTTCACTTTCCTTTTTTATTTCAATTCCAACTTTGGTCATGAAGAATATGTTTCTCTGTTGTCCCCGTTCATAAAGCATAAAACAACAGCATCAGAGCACGGTGCAGAGTCTCTAGATGAGTTTACAGTTGTCCCTCGTTCTTATTATACATCCATGTTTACACGCCGTTTACACGAGGAGAAAACTGCTTGTATCTGCATAGTTTCGCGTGCGTATAGCCCTATTATTTACACGAGGCCGATAGAAACTGACCCCACAAACGATAACGGGTCCCAAGGTGGATAGATTTGCAAACGAAACGCTCTGGGGGGTCAACCGAGTCCGTGTAATCACCTCTATACAAATATTTCCTGAAAAAATAGCGATAGCCCCACCTCTCCCCACCTCTCCTGCTCACTGCTGTAGCAACTATCAAAAATAGCTGTGTTAATTAAACGCACAAGGGGTTCTTGAATGAAATAATATTATAAAAGGCAAACCAGAATTGTTAACGCCCAATATACTCCTTAAACAAAATAAACAGAGTCAGATTTCATGCATTGATCCATTATATTGACAAAGGTGCGATCTCACCCGGTGTTTGTAGAGAATATCTCTCTTTCTGAGCCGTCCTCTCCACAGAGACGTGCTTCTTGGTCGGTCGATGCAATATCCACAGATTCGGTTTCTTTCAGTTAACTTCCCCGTTGCATTTATCCATATATTTACATGCTGAGGAAATGACTATATCCCGCTGAATACCAGCAATCGCCACACACACTTCCTCCTGTCAGTAGCTACTGCTAGTGCTACTGCTACTGACCATGCTACAGATATTAGGGCAAAATCTACAGCTCCTCTACCACAACCATCAGCAACAAGTGGACATGGAGAATTACATGAACTACATGTTGCTAAATACACCGTGGGGCGTAAACAGAAGGGTAGCCATGGCAACATTGCTGCGGGGCTGCTCGGGCTGCTCTTCTTCTTCGCTTTTGGTGTATTTTGGCGGAAGTTACAGCGCCACTTACAGTCCCGGCATATGTACTACAGCGTTTCCAGCGGCCTCGTTTGAACAGACACGTTAAATGAAACGAATGCATGTGAACGGAAGACTTCTTTGAATACGCATACTGTGCATAAACGCAAACGTTCCCGTGTGAGTGGGGCCGTAGTCCGCTGTATAGAAAACTGTAGTTTCCATAGTTTCCCCACAGCAGCAGACGCACATTTATGACGTCCGCTGGCGCATCATAAACACGTCGGATAGTGAAAGTGCAGTCGGATTTTCTAAAGTACCGCAGTCTCTTCTCCTAAATCCTTTTGAATTCTCCTATCCACTATCCCTTAACCCCATGACGTTTCACTCAGAGGTCAAGGAATAGACGATAGGGTTAGAATTTAGGAGCTGATTTTTGGATTATTCGACCGCAACCAGGAAGTCAATCAATCAATCAATCAATCAAAACTTTATTACAGACTCAGAGTCCAGATAAAAGACAAGACATTACATATAATAAATGAATCAATGAAACAAGGTGAGTGATTTTTACAAATAAAACAGGAAACACAAACGCCAAGGTCATGAAATAACCCCAGGATAAAATACCTCCAAATCACAAACACAATAGCTTGGTATCACTAAGAAATAAGGAGAATTATAGGTGCCAAACAACATAATATTAAAAACGTATATATGCCGAGGGCAGTTGCCGGATATCTAGTTTGTAATGCGGCCTGGAAGGAAGTGTTTTTTATTCTTTAGAAAGACGACATTTACATACATTTTTATCTTTTAATTATTAGAATTTACTTTCTTACAAGACATGAAATCCTTAGTTATTAATGTCATTAAGTGATTGGGCCTTTTAACCCTTGTGTTAGCTGTTACTACCACTGGTGGTCCGTGAGCGCCCCCTAGTGGTCCGTGGGTATATTGGTAACATTTCACATTTTAAATAAATAGATTAATTTAAGTTTTCCGCACTCTTGGTGTATTTTTGGAAAGGGAAACTGTGCGCAAACAGCAGTAGATATATATTAATTAAAAAAAAATTAAAAAAGGGGGGGGGAAAGGGCACTTTCTCTGGAGGAAGAAAAAGGGCAGGGGCTCAAGCCCACTTTGATGTCTATGTGTGCACGTGCCTGCCAAGGTGCATTGTGTGTGTGTGTGTGTGTGTGTGTGTGTGTGTGTGTGTGTGTGTGTGTGTGTGTGTGTGTGTGTGTGTGTGTGTGTGTGTGTGTGTGTGTGTGTGTGTGTGTGTGTGTGTGTGTGTGTGTGTGTGTGTTTTTTTCCCTTTTATAAAACAGTAAGGTAACTTTGTCGAAGTCGGGATAACGGACTTCATATAATTTCAACAATAAAGAGAGCAAAAGCAACCGTTGACTTACCTCCAAGTGTTTTTTAAGATTAGACGTGGAGTCCTTTGATGCAGACATTGTATTGATGGTTGGAAAACACAAGGTACACTGGACCGTGATATTCATGGTCTTGTTTAAATTCGAAGTGGTGTCGATATCGCCACGATTTAAACGCAGACTTTTGTTCCTCCATGTTTCGTTGTTATTGTTTCACTGAGCGGACCCGCACATTTTTTTCAAACGCTCCCTTTTTTGGTCCATCTGCAGCGGTAATAGGTTTTGTGCGCTGTGATGATTCGGCTGTACCTTTAGTAATGAATATTAAAAGTTGTGAGGAAATCTTTCCACCAATAATTCCAATAAGTAATCCAAAATGTATTCACTTCAGGTTTACGAAAGTAACTGTAATCAGATTACTCGTTTTTCAAATGTAACACGAGCTGAATACAGTTACTTGATTTTTGTATTCTGATTACGTAACGCCGTTACATGTATTACGTTACAACCCAACCCTGTGCGGGCGCCAGATAAGTCAACATCCCCCACTTTCATCACTTACAGCGCCCATCGTACAGGGCAAATGAAAAGTGTAACCGGGGTGAAAAGGGTGTTACCTTGACTTAATTATGAATGTTGTTACATCAAGGCTGAAAATTAGGATGAGCCAGCAGTAAAAAAAAATGTTTTCCCTCCCAGAGCTACCAGCGCAGCGCCCCCCCCCCCAGATCTGGCGCCCTAGGCGACCGCCTATGTCGCCAGTGCTATGGGCCGGCCCTGGCCCCAAAACACATATTGCACATGTGCATGTGCGTGTTCAGGTTCAAGTGTTAGTGTGCATATTCTTTGAGAAAGGTGGAGATGAAGGGGGTGGGGGTGGGGTGTGTAAGGTCAAAGATGAATCTTGATTGGGCCAAATTTGACTCCGAGTGACCCACAACAATGCTGCTGGGTCTCCCCAGACCAGAACAGGAAATTATTCACTTTTTTTTTAGAGACCTTCAGACTTGGCTAAAATTGTCAAAATCTGTTTTGTAGTGTTTATAAAGCCGTGGAGGATATCATGAAGCCTTGTTCCGATCAAAAAAACTAGAGCGTAGTTATTATATAATTTTAACTTGAAACAGGTCACGGGAGACCCGAACACAGCATAAGGGTTAAGAAATCTTCATATTCGAGTAAAGGCCTAACATTTGCACTGCATATTCATTTTGTTTATTTTTTCAATATCCTTTCAACCATAACTGTTATGCCTGGTTGCCAATCTGCCTGTAACATTAGATTAATTCATGTCTGTCTGGAAACATTGAACATTAACTGTGGCTGTGCAGATCATTTAAGTTTTAAATGTTCAGATTTTGATGAATGCAGTCGCATCACTTGGTCATGTCCCCAACATGTTAGCTTTTAATATAGAACAGGGTCTTATAATTTAAGATTATATTTATCATAAATGTTATTTGTATAGAGCCAAATGAAAAGGACTCTACTAAATTAACATATACCTAGTACTCATGTGTCTGTGGATAGATTTTGTCCCCTTAAGCAACCGTGTCACATGCAGTCTCAAGACTTTGCGGATATAGTTTGGATTGATATGAAGGAAGCGGCCATTCACCCCCAATTTAGATTTTACATTTAGATCATTTTTCTGTGAAATTATGATCAACGTGATTAAATAGTATTCGTTTCACAACTTTGATGTTAGCTCAGAAGTGAAGCAGGAAACCAGTTTCTGTGGTTCAGCTGGTTTGTTGCAGATTTCACAATAAATGTTTGAGTGGGCTGCTTTAACAAAAAAAAAACAATTGCAAAATGGGGACTAAATATGTTAGTGCAAACTTGCAGGCAAACATTGCATGTGGATGTGGTCAGAATTCAAAATAATCGATTTGTTAATCAGACAAAGTGCTGCATAAAAGGATCAACTTAATGCCCCGAAGATCAAAGGCAAGTCAATTGTCTTGCAGGCATCATGCATGCTCTACACAAACTCCTGCTTTTTCAGGTCCTGACATCTCTCGGACAAAATGGTAATACTCCGAACTCTGTTTATTATGCTCCAATCCTTAACTGAAATTAACCTATGACCTTTTACTTATTTCAGCAGATGGGAGTATAACTTCCTTTATCCGCTATCTTTGAATCATTCAATTTGAAAAGTCTTCAAGATATATTAACCACCTTTATTTTTAAATATTATCTTCAATATTGAATATTATCTTAGATTCAGGGAACCGGTCAGGGTCGTTGTTGGCACTCACAATCTCCTCAACGTTGGTGATGAAAATGTAATATACATTGAACAGATATACAAACACGGACAGTATACCCATCTAGACGGAGGTAATGACATCATGCTACTCAAGTACACTTTTTTTTTGGATCAAATTAATAATGTAACTTTCAGCTTCATATTCAGCCATTTTTTGTTACATTGAAGTCTGAAGAATAAAAAAGCATTATCTTATATTACACACATTGCTAGTTTTGTGAGATTTACTTTGAGATTTTGTTCATCTCCAGCTGACGAGGAAAGTTGCAGGGAACAAAAAACAAATCATTGCCCTTCCTCCTTCTAATATGAACATTCAAGAAAAGAAAACCTGCCATGTAGCTGGATGGGGTTTCATAAAGACTCGTGGAGGAGTTGTTGATAGGCTGATGGAGGTGGATGTGTCTGTCATAAACCTGAACACATGCTCTCAGTCATGGGTCCTTCTGTTCCTTCCGATGTTATCTGTGCCGGCGGTTATGGCAGCCACAAAGGCTTCTGTCAGGTATGATTTCTCTTTGTTGATGTCAAATGTAAGCTGGTATAAAAATGCTTTAAAAATCTTAAATAAAATAATCAATAATGAATAATATTCCTTGTTCACAGGGTGATTCTGGTGGTCCTCTGGTGTGCTACGGGATAGCTGTTGGTGTTGTGTCTTTCAACTACGGCAGAATATGTAACTACCCAAATAAACCCAACGTCTACACAGAGATCTCCAAATACCTTGGCTGGATCAACAGTATCATCAATTAAAAAGCTTAATATACAATTTCATAAAGCTTTGCTTCAGCACACTTTGAATGTATTTAGGAGGGGAGGCTGTGTCTCAGCTGCTCTGTCAGTGTTCGCTCTTTAATGGAAAAGCAAAATAAAGCAAATGTCTCAAATGTTGTTTTCTCTTTTCCTTATCCGAACACATGAGGTTTGAATCTCTTTTAGGAAAAGGTTTTACTTCAGCAAAGATTCATTGTAATATTGAGGCTTTGTGGTGTCACAGATTGGTCTATCAAGGTTTATTTCATCAGTATACATTCATTTTGTATGTTTAAATAATCATAATAATGAGATCCTGCACTTGGAGAGGTTGAGCATGTGACGTCACCATAGTTTCAATGTCGGATTATAAGCAACTTTTAACACTCATAGAACGCACTTCAATAGAATTAACTAATGTAAAAAAATGGCAAACAGTATCAGAAATCTAACTCAGCTGAAATTGTTTTACATGCTTTTATTACTAGTCGCTTGGACTACTGCAATTCTCGTGGTCTCCAAAAAAATCTTTAAAGAAATTGCAATTAATTCAGATTGCTGCGACTAGGATTTTAACAAACACAGAAAAAAGGGATCACATGTTCCCTGTGCGGGCATCACTGCACTGGTTACCGGTGTCTTTCCGAGTTGATTTTAAAATGGTTTTAATTATTTACAAGGCTTTACATAACCCGGGCCCTACACACATCAGGGACTGCCTTTCTTTTGATAACCCAACAAGGACCCTCAGATCCTCCGATGCATTTCTTTTAGAAGTACCTAAAGTAATACACAAGAAATCTGGGGAGGCTGCTTTATGTTTTTCCCATTGGATCTTAGAACAGCAAACTCCATTGGAGTTTTTAAAAGTAAATTGAAGACCTATCTTTGAATTTGGAGTAATTTTAGAGGTATAACTGTTTATGTTTTATTGTTTTATTGTTATGTGATATAACTCTTTCTGTTTTTTATAACTTGTTTTTAATTATGTTCCTCCTTCTTTATTTTGTATCTGTAAAGCACCTTAGGCTGCATCTTGCATTGAAGGTTCTATAATATTAATAATAATAATAATAATAATGCATTTTATTTAAAGAGCGCTTATCTAGAAACTAAAAACAAAACATTAAAACAAAACACTTAAAATATATAAAACACAACATTAATTACAGATTAAAAGCAGTTCTGAAGAGGTGCTATATAAATAAAGTGTATTATCATTATTACAAATAAATAGAAAAATGCTTGCTGCCATTATGTGGAGTATAGTATATCAATTAAGTATAACATGTGGTGAAGGTTTCAATAGATTCATAAACAAATACTATTAAGGTCTAATGATGCTCAGTTACAAAAGTGCTGGTTAGGAATAGGTGTGGTTTTCAATATGAATAGCTATATACAGAGAGAGGGGAAAATGCACAAGGACTTAATGTTCCTCAATATTTCACTGCATGTCAAAATTGGGTTAACAGTCATAAGTTTCTGTGTGTACGATGAAATAGTGGCTTTAAAATGTGACAGAGGCAACCAAATGTAGGCTTTACAGGCTAATAGAAAACCCCTAGCTGGTCACTCTTATCCACTTCGACATATGCTTGTGGGAAAGTCCTGGTTACTGGACACAGCCTGCCAGTTTCACCTACTAACGGCAGGAAATGATGCAAGTAATAGCTTTATAAAAGATCTTTGTGAAAATGGATGGGGAGTGACATGGAGGAAGAGGAGGAATTTATAAATGTATGTCCTAACACATAGTATGTACATGATGTATGTTTTTTTCAATGTTGCAAAATAGCATCTCCCGCAGGATGTGGTTGGAAGTGAAGATAAATAGATGGCAATCATATTGTGTAGTTCGAACTCTGCAGTAAAAAGGTTCCACTTGACAGCGGGCTGATCATCCTGTCGCCACGATGCGTGGGCTCTACAAGTTTCTGCTTCTTTTTCTTCTGGCATGCCAAGATCAAAACGGTAAATTGCTCTGATGACTTTTCTTCATCCTGAAAATTAGATAATAACTAGTTTTAACTCTTTGTTATTTTATTCATATGATTACAGTACTTGGAAGTAAAATCATAAATGGGAAAATTGCCGACGATAAGTTGATGAAGTATATGGTATCGGTGCAGGATGACAATGAACACAAATGTGGAGGATTCCTTGTCAGCAAACATTTTGTTGTCACCCATGGGGGGTGTAAATTGTAAGTTACTCCTTTTCTAGCTAATGTTTTGTTGTTTGATGTAAAAAGTATGTTTCATTTTTTCTGTGTTGTCACAACTTTACAAAATACAACAATAACCTCTCACTGATGTCTTTTTCAGTGATGAAGACGGAAAAGTAATGGTTGTTCTCGGCACCCACTATCTCAGCAAACCTGGCTCTAAAGTAAAAGAACACTTTAAATCCACATGCAAACCCCCACCTGGAATTGGGACTGACATCATGCTCATTGAAGTAAGTTTATTCAGCCCAGTAGTCCCTTGGTTTGAAGAAAATTAAACAACTGAGTTTAATTTCAGTGAGGGTAAATGTAAATAAACGGGGGGAAGCAAATAGTATTAAATATTCCTGCTTATAATATTTACACAGCACAACCAAAAACCGGTTGATTTACTGTAATACTGCTCGTAATAACCTTTATTTAAGTGACTCATGTGCTCCAACAAACCAATCTGTACATGACATATGATGTAGAGCAGGGCTATTCAATTAGTTTGGAATGGGGGCCGGTTGATGAAAATGATCCAAAGCAAGGGGCCGGGAAAAAGATGGCTTGAAATATGAGCAATCATATTTAAGAGCTTCAGATACAGTAAATACTACAACAGCATAGTGGAGTGCATATATTGTGTTTAATTCAATCAAACAACATAGCCCCAAGGCCTTTATAGATCTAAATGGCAAGTTCAGAACTCAGTAGGCCTACATGTTTCATTTGATTTCATTTAGGTGAAATGATCTAATCATTCACGCAGAGATGCAATCAATGACAGGAGTTGTCACTACAGTATAGTAGGTGGGTTCGAAACCCGAGCCCGTCGAAGTTTTCAGGCATTGTCTACCCCTCTATCTCTCAATGTAACACCCTCTCTGGAATAAAGGCACTATGGCACAAAAAAAAAAAAATCTTAAAAAAAAAAATTTATGACTTTTTAACATTATACTCAAAGGGCCAGTAAATATCACCCCGGGGCCGGATTTGGCCCGCGGGCCGCCAATTGAATAGCCCTGATGTAGAGTAAGACTGTTTTGAAAAACTGCTTTTTGATTTTATTCGTCTCAAGATATATCGAAAAAAACCAGACGATCTACCAAAAGAAATTCAACTTCAAGACCCTGAAACGGATGTAAAAGAAAATGAAAAGTGCCAATTTGCTGGATGGGGTCCAGTGAAGAACAATGGATCTGATCATGACGATCAGCTCAATGTGGTGAACGTGACTGTCATCAGCCAGGAGGCTTGCAAAGTGCAGATTCCTGGACTTCGTGCCAATGCTATCTGTACAGGTGGAAAACAGACAACAGACGAGGGACGATTTTGTAAGGTATGTTAGATACATTTGTTTCTTATTCCAAAAGAAGGTATAACATCATGCATAATCTTTTTAACAAATAAAGATATTTCCTGCTCACAGAGAGATGCTGGTGGACCCCTCGTGTGCAAGGGGAAAGCTGTTGGAATTGCGACTGTCAACGAGGACTGTTCCTTCACAGGTTTACCAAACGTCTACATTGATATCTCAGAATACCGTTCCTGGATCAACGCCTGTATTAAAGCGAAGAAATGTTTGTAAAATGTAACAATATTTCAAAAAGCTTTGCTTCAGCACACTTGTATGTATTTGGTAGGAAAGGATGTGTCTTAGTCACTGAGTGTTTGCTCTTTAATGCAATGGCAACATTAAAAATGTTTCTCAAATATCGTTTTCTCTTTCATTCAATGAAACAGATTGGATTGTGCAGGCAGATATTTATTTATTGAGCTGCTTAGTCAGAGAAGCAGGTCAGCCAAGACACTCATACAAGGGGATTAACAGAAGATTTTTTTACAGAAGAAGTAAATAAATTAACTTGTGTTTTAACCTAACAGGAAATAAATAAGTTATTTTAAATATTTAAAAATATATAAATATAATGTATATAACATGTTGATGTTCTATATTGCTCAATGAAGCTATATAACGTCAGCAAACCATAGTGAAGGTCCTATGACATCGCTAAGAAGCTATTCCAGGTTCCAAGATATAAATGCCATCCCATTAGACTATAAATAAGATAATGTAATATAATAGATTCAAAATGAAACATTCCTACTATTGGTAAATCACGTACATTATGGAGAATGATCATTCAGGAAAGAATGTGATTGTGAATGACAGTAATCGTAATATTATATTTTATGTTATTTATTTATTTCCTATTTTCCTAAAAAATGGCAAAGGGCAGCCACTTGAAACGCTGTTTGCATACGTGTCTACAGCAGTATACCAAGACGATAAGACACGTTTCATGACACTTTACTTGAAGATATGAGTGTGGTGTCTTCTGACATCAACACTCATATCTGAGGTTGGAAACTGTGGTTACTGAGGTTCAGCTAGTTTGTCACACAAGTCAAAGAAATGTTTGATTAGGCTGTGTCACGCGAGGCACACATGAACCATGTCCTCATTAATTCATCTAAATAATGATGAATAAATACGAACATTTGATAAAAAACAAAACCAAATTCAAAATATTGTAGTATTTGTTTTTCCTATGGTAACGGTCTTCAACAGGGTACACAAAATGGTATTTAAGTCATTATGACAAATGTAAAATATATATTTCTAGTGTTTAGTAATCAAAACAGTGATACTTGATTCTTAAAATGGCAGTTTTATATTGACATTTACTGCAGTTTCAACAGGAGAATTTGAAAATATTTTCAACATAACTGAGGAACTCAGTTACATGTTAGAGCAGAGCGTTTCTGTCTACCATGTGTTGCATTACACTAAACCACATTATTTCTTCAATGAAGCTCTTGTTCACATACTGTACGTGTGATGTAACCTAGTGAAAAGAGGAAATAAATAATTCTTTCAACAATTTGCAAGAAATAAATCTAAGCACTAACATTAAAATAAAACACAAGTTTGTAAAAATTCGACACACACACACACACACATACTTTTATCTCTGTCACTTTAATGAATATGGGTATCTTACAGATATATAGATTACATTTTACTAGTCTACCAACCACATTGCTCCTTAATACAAAACATGAAAACATGCCAACATGGATAGTCACACACACACACACACACACACACACACACACACACACACACACACACACACACACACACACACACACACACACACACACGCACACACACACACAGACAGAGGCTGCAATGTACCAGGGGTGGAACCAGGAAACGTCTATTCGTAGCTTTTTTTTCAAAATGTCCACCTTTGCTAAACAACTTTGACATGCAATTGTAATCTTGTACCCTGTGATACATACAGCAGTTTTAACCCTTAAAGCGTTGTGGGCCTCAATATGGCTGTTGTCTTTAACACTAAAAGTTTCTTGCATCTATTATGAAAGCCTGTTTTGAACATGCAAGTTACACGTGTTTTGTAATCCAACCATCCTTTTAAAAAAGGGCGTATTTCATGAATGTTTTCACGGATAAAGTCTGAACACCTCACTTTGAGACATCATTAAAATCAGTGGCACAGCTGATGTTACCATTGATTTGCCCATGCTCACTAACCCTGCCCTAAATGCTAGGCAAGAGGTCACTGTAGCTGTCCAACGACCCTGTAGATTACTGGAACAATTCTATTGCAGGCATTCAGTTCATGATTCAAGATACACACAGGTGGATCCAATCAGGACGAGGCCAACACTCACATAAAGTGGGAAACCACATAAACAGGAAGTCAATGAAACAAGGTGAGTGCTTTTTACAAAATAAAACAGGAAACAGAAACGCCAAGGTCACGAAATAACCCCAGGATAAAATACCTTCAAATCAGAAACACAATAGCCAAATACAAAAGGTATCACTAAGAAATAAGGAGAGTTATAGGTGCCAAACAACATAATATTAAAAACGTATATATGCCGAGGGCAGGTGCCGGATATCATCTTTGTAATGCGGCCTTGAATGAAGTGTTTTTTATTCTTTAGAAAGAGCACATTTACATACATTTGTATCTTTATTAGAATTTACTTTCTTACAAGACATGAAATCCTTAGTTATTAATGTCATTAAGTGACTGGTTGGGCCTTTTAAGAAATCTCCATATTCGAGTAAAGGCCTAACATTTGCACTGCATATTCATTTTGTTTATTTTTTCAATATCCTTTCAACCATAACTGTTATGCCTGGTTTCCAATCTGCCTGTAACATTAGATTAATTCATGTCTGTCTGGAAACATTGAACATTAACTGTGGCTGTGCAGATCATTTAAGTTTTAAAGATATGTGCAGATTTTGATGAATGCAGTCGCATCACTTGGTCATGTCCCCAACATGTTAGCTTTTAATACAGGGTCTTATAATTTAAGATTATATTTATCATAAATGTTATTTGTATAGAGCCAAATGAAAAGGACTCTACTAAATGAACATATACCTAGTACTCGTGTGTCTGTGGATAGATTTTGTCACCTTAAGCAACCGTGTCACATGCAGTCTCAAGACTTTGCGGATACAGTTTGGATTGATATGAAGGAAGCGGCCATTCACCCCCAATTTAGATTTTACATTTAGATCATTTTTCTGTGAAATGATGATCAAAGTGATTAAATAGTATTTGTTTTACAACTTTGATGTTAGCTCAGAAGTGAAGCAGGAAACCAGTTTCTGTGGTTCAGCTGGTTTGTTGCAGATTTCACAAGAAATGTTTGAGTGGGCTGCTTTAACAAATAAAAACAACGGCAAAATGGGGACTAATGAAATATGTTAGTGCAAACTTGCAGGCAAACCTTGCATGTGGATGTGGTCAGAATTCAAAATAATCGATGTGTTAAAGGTCCCATCATTTGCTTTTCCGGTTATTACCCGTCCCCTTGTTTGTTATAGCTTTTTCGACACGTAAACAGTCTGCAAAGTCACAAACCCTCAAAGTACACCATGTAGCGAGTAAAACTCTAACACACAAAAGACGTGTCTATGCTTCCCCAGAACGCCTCGTTGTAGATTTTTCTTTTTCCATTTCCATTCCTATTGAAGTCACTAAGTCCAAATGGACCAATTGGCACACAGCTATAGAACAATAGGCACACCCTCTGCCAGGGTGGACTCCCGAGCAGCTCACGAGTCCGGACAGTGTATGGTGGATTTCCCGCTGTGTTTCCCTGGATGTTGGATATAGACCAAGTGCCATGCCAGCGGACACCGCGGTGCTCAGGCTGAGCTCCGCGGTGCCCCCTGGCATGGCACGCAGACCCCACGCAGCGACCAGGAAACGACACCAGTAATCCACCTCACACTGTCCTCTCCTCGAGCCTCAAAGGGCGGAGCAGCGAGCCCACGCAGCAATCTCATCTGTTTGTTATAACTGGTGTCCTTTTCTGGTTGCTAACAAACGCCATTGTAAAACATAAACACTGATGTTCCGCTGTAACGGTGGCGGACTTATCAGAACAGAGTGGGCGAGCTGACCAATCAGAGCACCAATGTGAGTTCAGAAAATTGAACAATGTAAATCGATTTTAGTAGACCTCAACAATGGAATTATGATCAGTAGAAATGGCCATGACATGGGACCTTTAATCAGAAAAAGTGCTGCATAAAAGGATCGACTTAATGCCCCGAAGATCAAAGGCAAGTCAATTGTCTTGCAGGCATCATGCATGCTCTGCACAAACTCCTGCTTTTTCAGGTCCTGACATCTCTCGGACAAAATGGTAATACTCCGAACTCTGTTTATTATGCTCCAATCCTTAACTGAATTTAACCTATGACCCTTTACTTATTTCAGCAGATGGTAGTATAATCCCAAAAGCAATAGCCCCAGATGATACGTACGAGTTTTTAGTCTCCCTGCAAAGCGACGAGAAACATGTGTGTGGAGGATTCCTGATCAGCGAAGACTTTGTGCTCACTGCTGCGCACTGTAGCGTCGAGTGAGTATAACTTCCTTTATCCACTATCTTTGAATCATTCAATTCAATTTGAAAAGTCTTCAAGATATATTAACCACCTTTATTTTTTAATGTTATTTTCAATATTGAATATAATCTTTCATTCAGGAAACCGGACAGGGTCATTGTTGGCACTCACAATCTCCTCAACGTTGGTGATGAAAATGTAAGATACATTGAACAGAGCTACAAACACCGATCCTATACACAAGTAGACGGAGGTTATGACATCATGCTCCTCAAAGTAAGTACACATTTTTTTTGGATCAAATTAATAATGTAACTTTCAGCTTCATATTCAGTCATTTTTTGTTACATTGAAGTCTGAAGAATAAAAAAGCATTATCTTATATTACAGACATTGCTAGTTTTGTGAGATTTACTTTGAGATTTTGTTCATCTCCAGCTGACGAGGAAAGTTGCAGGGAACAAAAAACCAATCATTGCCCTTCCTCCTTCTAATATGCACATTCAAGAAAAGAAAACCTGTCATGTAGCTGGATGGGGTAACACAGAGACTGGTGGTGGAGTTGTTGATAGGCTGATGGAGGTGGATGTGTCTGTCATAAACCTGGACACATGAAGCTCAGCGCAAGTTCAACCAGGAAGACCGTCTCTACTCATTCATGTATTTCTATTCCCATGTTATTACTCTCTCTCCTCTCAATAAGTAACCGGGGGCGTCACTCTTCAGCTTAACCAATCACTTCGCTCTATTCCCAAGAGCCTATCATAGCGCTCTGTCAAACCTTTTAAATCTGCTCTCCCCTCTGACAGCTCTCATTCCAGGTGAATCGGCGCAACCCTCCTCCACCCCCTTTTCACCTCCTGTCCCTCTGAATCCAGGGTCAAGCTAAACCACTCCTCTTCAGACCGACCCAACTATCCATTCACCACCACCAGTGTCTAGACCCCAGGGGGGTTTCATCGGATCGGTTCTACCCTCCCGAATGATACTTCCTGCACAACGGGGCCTAATCGCCAAAATTACCATTGCATTCATTTGTGCATCTGCGCAATAAATATGTATTATTACATCAAAACCGTCTCTCCTGATTGAAATGCTCTCAGTCATGGGTCCTTCTGTTCCTTCCGATGTTATCTGTGCCGGCGGTTATGGCAGCCACAAAGGCATCTGTCAGGTATGATTTCTCTTTGTTGATGTAAAATGTAAGCTGGTATAAAAATGCTTTAAAAATCTTAAATAAAATAATCAATAATGAATAATATTCCTTGTTCACAGGGTGATTCTGGTGGTCCTCTGGTGTGCTACGGGATAGCTGTTGGTGTTGTGTCTTACAACTACGACAGAATCTGTGACTACCCAAATAAACCCAACGTCTACAGAGAGATCTCCAAATACCTTGGCTGGATCAACAGTATCATCAATTAAAAAGCTTAATATACAATTTCATAAAGCTTTGCTTCAGCACACTTTGAATGTATTTAGGAGGGGAGGCTGTGTCTCAGCTGCTCTGTCAGTGTTCACACTTTAATGGAAAAGCTAAATAAAGCAAATGTCTCAAATGTTGTTTTCTCTTTTCTTTATCCGAACACATGAGGTTTGAATCTCTTTTAGGAAAAAGTTTTACTTCAGCAAAGATTCATTGTAATATGGAGGCTTTGTGGTGTCACAGATTGGTCTATCAAGATTTATTTAATCAGTAGACATTCATTTTGTATGTTTAAATAATCATAATAATGAGATCCGGCACTTGGAGAGGTTGAGCATGTGACGTCACCATAGGATTATAAGCATTATTATAAGCAACTTTTAACACTCATAGAACGCACTTCAATAGAATTAACTAATGAAAAAAAAATGGCAAACAGTATCAGAAATCTAACTCAGCTGAAATTGTTTTTCATACTTTTATTACTAGTCAAGGTTCAAGGTTCAAGGTTCAAGGTTCTTTATTGTCAATCTGACATAGCTACAGAGTAATTATGCAGTTGAAAATCTTATGTCACAGGCTTCTCCAACAATGCAACATAATAACATAACATAATAACAATAAGAGCATGAGCAATACAAAAATAATAATAGTTATAAAAATGAAATAAAGTTATGATGTGGAATAGTGCAGTATGAGTCTATATACAAGTTATTGGAATGATATATATATATTAGGTATTAGATACATACTACTGAGTAGCAGTTGAATGTTTGAAGTTGTTTCAACAGTTCCATTTTTTAAAAGTCTCACTGCCCGCGGGAAGAAACTGTCTCCGAATCTTCTTGTCCTTGCCAGGATGCTGCGGTAACGTCTGCCAGACGGCAACAGAAAGAACAGTTTGTGGCTGGGGTGATGGGGGTCTTTGATAATCTGTAGTGATTTCTTCCTGAGCCGCTGGGAGTAAAGGTCCTCCATGGATGGCAGCTCCGTCCTGGTGATGTGCTGTGCAGTTTTCACCACCCTCTGTAAAGCCTTACGATCGAGGTCGGTGCAGCTGCCGTACCAGGCCGTCATGCTGCCAGTGAGGATACTCTCTATTGTGCACCTGTAGAAGTTGCAGAGTATCCTGGAATCCATTTTGAACCTCCTCAACCTGCGGAGGAAGAAGAGCCGCTGTCGAGCTTTCTTGGTGATGGTGGTGGTGTGAAGAGACCATGTCAGGTCCTCAGTGATGTGGACCCCAAGGAACCTGAAGCTTTTGACTCTCTCCACCGTAGTCCCATTGATGGCGATGGGGGCGTGTCCCTCTCCCTGCTGCTTCCTGTAGTCCACAATCAGCTCCTTTGTTTTGCTGATGTTGAGATGGAGGTTGTTCTCCTGGCACCAAGATGTCAGTCGCTTGGACTACTGCAATTCTCGTGGTCTCCAAAAAAATCTTTAAAGAAATTGCAATTAATTCAGATTGCTGCGACCAGGATTTGAACAAACACAGAAAAAAGGGATCACATGTTCCCTGTGCTGGCATCACTGCACTGGTTACCGGTGTCTTTCCGAGTTGATTTTAAAATGCTTTTAATTATTTACAAGGCTTTACATAACCCGGGCCCTACACACATCAGGGACTGCCTTTCTTTTGATAACCCAACAAGGACACTCAGATCCTCCGATGCATTTCTTTTAGAAGTACCTAAAGTAATACACAAGACATCTGGGGAGGCTGCTTTATGTTTTTCCCATTGGATCTTAGAACAGCAAACTCCATTGGAGTTTTTAAAAGTAAATTGAAGACCTATCTTTGAATTTGGAGTAATTTTAGAGGTATCACTGTTTATGTTGTATTGTTTTATTGTTTTTTATAACTTGTTTTTAATTATGTTCCTCCTTCTTTATTTTGTATCTGTAAAGCACCTTAGGCTGCATCTTGCATTGAAGGTTCTATAATATTAATAATAATAATAATAATAATGCATTTTATTTAAAGAGCGCTTATCTAGAAACTAAAAAGAAAACATTAAAACACTTAAAATATATAAAACACAACATTAATTACAGATTAAAAGCAGTTCTGAAGAGGTGCTATATAAATAAAGTGTATTATCATTATTACAAATAAATAGAAAAATGCTTGCTGCCATTATGTGGAGTATAGTATATCAATTAAGTATAACATGTGGTGAAGGTTTCAATAGATTCATAAACAAATACTATTAAGGTCTAATGATGCTCAGTTACAAAAGTGCTGGTTAGGAATAGGTGTGGTTTTCAATATGAATAGCTATATACAGAGAGAGGGGGAAATGCACAAGGACTTAATGTTCCTCAATATTTCACTGCATGTCAAAATTGGGTTAACAGTCATAAGTTTCTGTGTGTACGATGAAATAGTGGCTTTAAAATGTGACAGAGGCAACCAAATGTAGGCTTTACAGGCTAATAGAAAACCCCTAGCTGGTCACTTTTATCCACTTCGACATATGCTTGTGGGAAAGTCCTGGTTACTGGACACAGCCTGCCAGTTTCACCTACTAACGGCAGGAAATGATGCAAGTAATAGCTTTATAAAAGATCTTTGTGAAAATGGATGGGGAGTGACATGGAGGAAGAGGAGGAATTTATAAATGTATGTCCTAACACATAGTATGTACATGATGTATGTTCTTTTCAATGTTGCAAAATAGCATCTCCCGCAGGATGTGGTTGGAAGTGAAGATAAATAGATGGCAATCATATTGTGTAGTTCGAACTCTGCAGTAAAAAGGTTCCACTTGACAGCGGGCTGATCATCCTGTCGCCACGATGCGTGGGCTCTACAAGCTTCTGCTTCTTTTTCTTCTGGCATGCCAAGATCAAAACGGTAAGTTGCTCTGATGACTTTTCTTCATCCTGAAAATTAGATAATAACTAGTTTAAACTTTTTGTTATTTTATTCATATGATTACAGTACTTGGAAGTACAATCATAAATGGGACAAATGCCACAGATAATTCGATGAAGTATATGGTATCGGTGCAGGAAGACGGTGAACACAAATGTGGAGGATTCCTTGTCAGCAAACATTTTGTTGTCACCCATGGGGGGTGTAAATTGTAAGTTGCTCTTCCTTTTCTAGCTAGTGTTTTGTTGTTTGATGTAAAAAGCATGTTTCATTTTTTCTGTGTTGTCACAACTTTACAAAATACAACAATAACCTCTCACTGATGTCTTTTTCAGTGATGAAGACGGAAAAATATTTGTTGTTCTCGGCACCCACGTTCTCAGCAAACCTGGCTCTAAAATAAAAGAACACATTATATCCACATGCAAACCCCCACCTGGAATTGGGACTGACTTCATGCTCATTGAAGTAAGTTTATTCAGCCCAGTAGTCCCTTGGTTTGAAGAAAATTAAACAACTGAGTTTAATTCAGTGAGGGTAAATGTAAATAAACGGGGGGAAGCAAATAGTATTAAATATTCCTGCTTATAATATTTACACAGCACAACCAAAAACCGGTTGATTTACTGTAATCCTGCTCGTAATAACCTTTATTTAAGTGACTCATGTGCTCCAACAAACCAATCTGTACCTGACATTTGATGTAGAGTAAGACTGTGTTTTGAAAAACTGCTTTTTGATTTTATTCGTCTCAAGATAAATTCAAAAAAACCAGAAAATCTACCAAAAGAAATTCAACTTCAAGACCCTGAAACGGATGTTAAAGAAAATGAAAAGTGCCAAGTAGCTGGATGGGGTCCAGTGAAGAACGATGACAATGATCCTCTCGATCAGCTCCGTGTGGCGGATGTGACTGTCATCAGCCCGAAGGCTTGCAAAGTGCAGATTCCTGGACTTCGTGCCAATGCTATCTGTACAGGTGGAAAACAGACAACAGACAAGGGAGGATTTTGTAAGGTATGTTAGATACATTTGTTTCTTATTCCAAAAGAAGGTATAACATCATGCATAATCTTTTTAACAAATAAAGATATTTCCTGCTCACAGAGTGATGCTGGTGGACCCCTCGTGTGCAAGGGGAAAGCTGTTGGAATTGCGACTGTCAACGAGGACTGTTCCTTCACAGGTTTACCCAACGTCTACATTGATATCTCAAAATACCGTTCCTGGATCAACCGCTGTATTCAAGAGAAGAAATGTTTGAAATGATAGTAACAATATTTCAAAAAGCTTTGCTTCAGCACACTTGTATTGTATTTGGTAGAAAAGGATGTGTCTTAGTCACTGAGTGTTTGCTCTTTAATGCAATGGCAACATTAAAAATGTTTCTCAAATATCGTTTTCTCTTTCATTCAATTCATTCAATGAAACAGATTGGATTGTGCAGGCAGATATTTATTTATTGAGCTGCTTAGTCAGAGAAGCAGGTCAGCCAAGACACTCATACAAGGGGATTAACAGAAGATTTTTTACAGAAGAAGTGTGTTAAAAACAATGAAATAAATAAATTAACTTGTGTTTTAACCTAACAGAAAATAAATAAATAATTTAAAATATTAAAAAATATATAAATATAATATAAATATAACATTTTGATGTTCTATATTGCTCAATGAAGCTATATAACCTCAGCAAACCATAGTGAAGGTCCTATGACATTGCTAAGAAGCTATTCCAGGTTCCAAGATATAAATAAGATAATGTAATATAATAGATACAAAATGAAACAGTCCTACTATTGGTAAATCACGTACATTATGGAGAATGACCATTCAGGAAAGAGAAAGGGTTGTGAATGATAGTATTCCTAATATTATATTTATTTTTATTTATTTATTTCCTACTTTCCTAAAAAATGGCAAAGGGCAGCCACTTGAAACGCTGTTTGCATACGTGTCTACAGCAGTATACCAATACGATAAGACACGTTGTATGACACTTTACTTGAAGATATGAGTGTGGTGTCTTCTGACATCAACACTCATATCTGAGGTTGGAAACTGGTTACTGAGGTTCAGCTAGTTTGTCACACAAGTCAAAGAAATGTTTGATTAGGCTGTGTCACGCGAGGCACACATGAACCATGTCCTCATTAATTCATCTAAATAATGATGAATAAAAACGACCATTTGATAAAAAAACAAAACCAAATTCAATTTGTTTCCTATGGTAACGGTCTTCAACAGGGTACACAAAATGTTATTTAAGTTATTATGAGAAATGCAAAATATATATTTCTAGTGTTTAGTAATTAAAACAGTGATACTTGATTCTTAAAATGGCAGTTTTATATTGACATTTACTGCAGTTTCAACAGGAGAATTTGAAAATATTTTCAACATAACTGAGGAACTCAGTTACATGTTAGAGCAGAGCGTTTCTGTCTACCATGTGTTGCATTACACTAAACCACATTATTTCTTCAATAAAGCTCTTGTTCACATACATGTGATGTAAACTAGTGAAAAGATAAAAAAAAAATTCAACAATTTGCCAGTTAAATCTAAGCACTAACATTAAAATAAAACACAAGTATGTAAGAATTCTCGACACACACACACACACACACACACACACACACACACACACACACACACACACACACACACACACACACACACACACACACACACACACACACACACACACACAACACACACACACACACACACACACACACACACACACACACACAGAAAAAAAAATCCGTGTTGACTCAACTACAGAGAAATACTAACTCATATCTATTGAGTTTCAACGGTAAAGTTTCAAAACTGAACCCACGCCTGGACTCTGCCAAGACCGCATGTGGAGTTGGAGCAATCTGCATTCATCCTGGAAGCGGATCACTGATAGCAGTGGAACAACAGGATTTTAACTTAAAGTGGACCTATCATGCTATATTTGAATAATATAGTGTAGGACCATACCTATATAAGGCATATTCAGAGATGGGGTCGTTACTAAAAAAAAGTAATATATTACATATTACATATTACTTTAAAAAAAAGTAATATATTACACTACTTCGTTACTCTCTACATAAAGTAACTCGTTACTTTACTCGTTACTTTACTCGTTACTTTACTCGCAGGGCCGGCCCGCCCCTCCCTGCAGGCAGATCACGCAGACTGCTAAAGTTTCAAATGTTCTCTTTAGTTCAGTTTCCATTCCATAAGACTGATCCAGATAGCTCTGACCATGGCTGTCCTCTGTCTCCTGCTATCTGTATTTTGCGCAGTATATCTCTGAACGATGCGATGGTGATTCCACTGTGCAAATGGGCAACATTTTCTCTACTATGAAGGATGCTACAAGCCTGTCCATCTCTGCTTTGGTTACCGGTCCTCCAAATTCTTGCGGCGGCGCACTCACAACATCCTCACTCTGGGTTCGGGGGTCCTTAGCTATTAGCTTCACCTTAGCATGTGTTCTTTGCAGGTGTTTGTTGAGGTTTGACGTGGTGTTTACAGCAGTGGATAACAGCTTCTGGCCTGGACACAGTTTGCACCTCACCGTCACATTCCTGTCTATTCTTCGGACAAATTCAAAATAATGGGCATACCCCATACCCCTTGAAAGTTATCGCTGACTCAGCCATGTTTATGCAGCACTGCACGCGGAGATGTGGACGTGCAAGTCGCGCAGATTACGTACATATAAACCTGCGGCGGAAACCCCTCTTGTCTGTCAGTGTGATTATGACTGATTTTATAAAAGTAACGAAGTAACGCGTGTCGGGGCAATGTTAGTAACTGTAGTATGATTACTGAATTATAAAAGTAACGCGTTACACTACTCCGTTACCGACAAAAGTAATATTATTACAGTAACGCGTTACTTTGTAACGCGTTACACCCAACTCTGGGCATATTTATACTTTTTTTTTTTCAAAATACCAAACAGATCATGCATTTTAGCCATGCCTCATTTTGCTCAATTTGACATTTTTCAGCTCTGTGTTTGTAAGGGCAGATAAGGGCAGAACAGCACCATCTACAGGCCTGGCATATGTACTACAGCGTCTCCAGCGCTTTCGAACGGCAATGGCCGTAGCTGTCTCCTCCTGATTGGTGGAGTTGGCCCAATAGCCGTAGTGCCACTGTCCTGACGTCAGGACAGTGTTCAAATCTGGATCAGTTTTTATCAGATCCGTTCCAGCCCCTTTTTTTAGAGATTTGGATATGGAGGAAAATAGAGAGGGTTGTGTTTTCTGACAATTGGTGAGTTCCCTGGAACACCGGGGACACATATTCATGTATAAAAGACGTACAAAAGTGCATTTTGCATGATAGGTCCCCTTTAACCTGTTACGCACGGCCCCCCTGGTACCGGGCGGATAAACGCGTCATTTGCAGGAAACAACGTCTAAGGAATCTTAATATTTAATAAACTATGAATGTTTTATATCCATGTAACGGGAAGAAACTCAGCTAACTGATCTTTTTAATTTTTTTTCTCCAAAAGAAACCCACAATGCTAACACTCAGCCTCTGAATTACCCACGAGCGAAAAAATGTAACCTAAAACGGCACTTAAACTCACAATAACTCCCTTATTACTTATCCTAGATGAACAGCCAACCACTAATTTTGGGTCTCCTGGAGACACAGAATCTGGGGGTGCCCACCTCAACACTCAGTGATAAACATTTGCGACGCTATAAACGAAAGCGTACATCATAACATGTTGAGCTAGGTAGCTAGAAACGCTAACATGGCTTACCTTGGTCAAAACTGGTCTTCAATGGCATTAAAACGATAAAAGAACGATGCTGCAGTTAATCCACAGGTTAATCCAATGTATCTGTGTCCTCTTTGAAATTATTTCTGATAATCCATGAGCAATAAAACTGCTTTTTCGTTTCCAAATGCCAGAGCTAGAGATAGGTCCACCCTGCTGCACATTTACATGTGCGCAGACCCCACCTTTTATCTTCACAACGTGTGTGTGTGGGGGCCTTCCCCTTCGATTCTATTGGCTCTAACGGTCAGAAAGAGGTGTCAACCATCCAAATCGACCAAGGGGGGCCAGAGATATGGGAAAAAAAAACATTTTCACCCAAATCACCTCAGAGGTGGGGTGGTTTTGGCTAAACCTCTCTAAAAAGGTCAAATGTCACTTGTTTTGCATCAATCTTGATACAGGGTACTTATTATATGTTGTACTTTGGATTCCTAAAGCTTTTAGTCTACTAACCCATCATCCAAGGGTAGTTTTCACTATCTGTAAAAAATAATTTTTGGACGGACACTATAATTTACAGTTTTTTACTATGTAAAATCTGAATTTTCTTTAAAATAAAAAACATCTATATTGATTCTGACACTTCTACATCCAACTGACAGATGTAACCTTGCTTTGATAAAAGAAATAATTCATATAACCCTTTTAGAAGTTAAGTTGTAGTCATTTGTTTTGGGCATGTCATTTTCGAGCCTGAAACATGAAAAACAGGCTTGGTGCTTAACAGGTTAATAATCAAGTTACCTGGTAAGTAGCCATTTTTGTTGAGCTTCATTTATAACAGCTGCTTACTGCATCTAACACAAACTGTAAGGTAGTCATCAGTTACTTGTTTTAAGCTACTGTAGCATGCATAGCACACTGATTAGCTAGCTGTTTGTATCCTCCTGTATCCTTTGTTTCACAGATGCAGTCAAAGTTCATTATTTGTAATACAGTATGTATATATTTATTTATATATATTTTTTTCTTGTTAGAATTAACGTAACATTTGATAAAAACTGATTAAAATAAATATGAACAACAACTGACAATGCCCGGCATGTTTTATTAGTTTTTTTGCAAACAAGCCTTCTCAACATTAACCTGTTAAGCACCAAGCTTGTTTTTCATGTTACAGGCTCGAAAATGACATGCCCAAAACAAATGACTACAACTTAACTTCTAAAAGGGTTATATGAATAATTTATTTGATCAAAGCAAGGTTACATCTGTGAGTTGGATGTAGAAGTGTCAGAATCAATATAGATGTTTTTTATTTTAAAATAGTGTAAACATAGTAAAAAACATAGTAAAAAACTGTAAATTATAGTGTCCGTCCAAATATTCTTTTTTACAGATAGTGAAAACTACCCTTGGATGATGGGTTAGTAGACTAAAAGCTTTAGTAATCCAAAGTACAACATATAATAAGTACCCTGTATCAAGATTGATGCAAAACAATTTACATTTGACATTTTTAGAGAGGTTTAGCCAAAACCACCCCACCTCTGAGGTGATTTGGGTGGAAATGTTTTTTTTTCCATATCTCTGGCCCCCCTTGCTCGATTGTGATGGTTGACACCTCTTTCTGACCGTTAGAGCCAATAGAATCGAAG